TTTTGCGCGTCTTAATATCGCTTATCTGAAATTCATAGAAAGCACGGCCAAGATGATGATGATCATCGCGGAGTTCTTCGTGGTTATCTTGAAGGTGCTCTGGGCGTTTGTGACAGCCGGGGCCAGATGGGTCGTGCGACCCAAGGAGAAGAGCGTGACGGGACAGGTGTGCGTGATCACCGGGGCTGGGAGCGGCCTCGGGCGGCTGTTCGCCAAGGAGTTCGCCCGGCGACGAGCGGTGCTGGTCCTGTGGGACATAAACAGCCAGAGCAATGAGGAAACGGCAGAGATGGTACGGCAGATATACCACGAAACGGAGACTCCCATCGCAAAAGATGGTAAGTCAAACCAATGAAGGACTTTTGAAGGATGTTAAAAAAAAATTACCACTGCTTCCTTTTTTTTTTTTTTTTTGCTACAGAGGTTAACGAATTTTTTTACTCTATCTCAGATTTATAACCAAGTCTTAACTGAGTGTCAGCGTAACAACGAGATTGACCAATCAATCAACTGGAGATCGGAATCAACCGATTTTTTCCTCGATTGCGCGCGGATACTAGAAAATCTGAAAAGAAACATTTATTTTTTGCACCATATTTTCGAGTTTCAGGTTCTATTTGAGCAACTTTAGGAAAGGAGAGATACACCTACCAGTCAGACAGAGATGGAATCAGGATTTTTTTTTATTTTTTATGATCGACTAATCAGTTTTCAACAGGTGAAATGCGTAAAATCTTAAATTTTATTTAACTTGTACAAAAAAGGAAACACTTTACTTTAGTCTAATGAAAATCTGACAATGTTCAGGGACACATACTTAAAAACGTAGATTGTGATAATCTTTGGTATTCTCTAATTTTTCTGTTGGATTCAAAATACCAATGCGACTAGTACTTCTACTATCAAAACAACTGCAGCACTCATTTCCTTTTTAATGTGTTATAGTCCTTAGAGAAAAAAAATTGTATCATTCAGAGGTGAAAAAAAACTCCAAATCAGTACATCTCTGACTAAAGCATGACTTATTGTGAGTATTTTAATAAAATAGTTTGCATGTGGACAACATATTCATTCTCCTACAGTCACATCATTTACCTTCTGTGCCATACTTAAACCTCCATTCATCATTTCTCCATTCTCCATTCTGTAGGACCTGTTGGAGGAGTGGAGGAGGTCCCTGCCTTCCAGCCTCAGGTCTACACGTACGTGTGTGATGTGGGCAAGCGCGAGAGTGTGTATTCCACGGCGGAGAAGGTGCGGCGAGAGGTGGGAGAGGTGGACATACTGATCAACAACGCCGGCGTGGTCTCAGGCCACCACCTGCTGGAGTGCCCGGACGAGCTGATCGAGCGCACCATGGTGGTCAACTGTCACGCACACTTCTGGGTGAGCTTCTCCTGATTGTGTCGTCATGGTTTGTTTTTGTTTGTTTGGGGCCTTGCGCTGTGATGAACCATATAAAACAGTGTCACGAGCAATGTGACGCCAGGAGTTTTTCCCCACGCCAGCTCCCATGCTTCCTTCAGAATCTCTTATCCCACCTCTTGGTGTCCAAGTCAAAAATCAAAGATAGTGTCTAACTCCCTCGTTGAGTGGAAAGTGAAAGTATCTGACCATAAATAGCCATCTTTCGTTTCACTTTTTAGCTAAAGTTCTGCCACAGGAAAGTCACAAGGTTTCTCTTTGATGAAAATTCCCCGGTATTTGGTGCAGATTCCTCTGGTATGGAAGGTCTTCCTTTATCCTTGTGTGATGGAAGGAGGAATCTGCATAAGCCTCGTATCAGTTCAGCACATTTTGTTGGCAGGTGGTGATTTGATGGGGATCTGTATCAGATTTTCTCTTGGCTCCCCTCCCGGGGGCCTTCCTCTGCCGTTTTATCTCCAGCAAAACATTTTGTTCACTTAAATGTGTTTCACTTCAAATAAACATGAGCTGCAGCATAGAACGGAAAAGGAACGGGGATAGGGAAGGTCAAAAGTGCCACAGTGTGTTCTAACTAAGTAATTATTTCTTAATGTCAGAATTAAAACATATGAATACTTTTTATTCACATAAATGTATCTGCAATGTTTCCTACAGATAGATTTATGTCATAATCTAATGATTTATTTTATTTATTGAATTATGGGCACTTTCAAACAATTTCAGGGTCTGTCGTTGGGTGGGGCAAACACATAGTGAACCCTCCCGTGGTCTTAGCGAGACCACGGGAGGGGGCAAATATCATGGCCAAGCAGCCAGGAAGTGGCTAGATTTTCCTGTCAGACCATCAGTTTCTGAAATCACGCAAAAAAAAACCTTTGTAAAAGCGCACGCAGTGAGACCGAACCGGACCAGACCGCGCACAGAGTAAAAAACTCATGGGGTCCAAATGACCCCATCTCTTAATAGAGCGGCAGGGCTAAAGACGATTGGTTTCACAATTACTTACAGTTCAGTTTCACCAATCAGATGGTAGAGTCTGGTTGATGAGTCAATGCGAAGCTGTGGAATATTTTATGGCAAATGAACTGAGATAGTAAATAAATGCAAAAAAAAAATAAATAAATTATGTCAGAAGTTTATGATTAACAGATTTTTTTTAATCTTACTGTTTACATTTAATTATTTAATATAGATTAAATTAAACAAACTATAATTTTATTTATTCATTTATTTATTTTATAGATTCATTTCCACCTAAATTCTAAAAATAATTGTGCGTTTGCTAAACTGCGACATATTTGAGCCTCCACAGGATACAGCCTCCCACTGTGATTAGAAAATTCATGTGAGGGGAAGCCTTTCTGGAAAAAAAAAATTAGATGGATGGGGCTCCGTAATGAAAATGAATTTTATCACTTAGCTGCAGCAGCCAGCTCTGCTTGGCAGCTGTTGTGCCTGTGCATAATTAGTTGTCTTTTTATTTAACCTTTTTTTCCCCCAGTTTCACTCCACAGTAATGTCTCTCTCACTCAGAGGTAGAGTTGTCGCAGCACTTCTCACTTTACATAGGAGAGGGTGGTTTTGCCTTTTTTTTTTTTTTTTTTTTTTGCGGCTGCAGGTTGTTTTTATATCGAGACGATTTCTGAGGGACGCAATGACAACACAACAGTTTGAAGTTCGTTAATTGAGCATGAAAATCTCTTGTGTTGTCAAACAGGTTGTGTATTTCCTCCCTAGTGGTTTCTCTATTCATGCTCCTCTCTGCTGGCTCTCCTCGTGTTCTTTTACATCCAGGATTTGGAGTCGGGATATAGTGGTTGGGTGGCAGATTTGGGGATTCCTAATAGCGAGCTGTGTTTGTGTATCTCCAGTATTCTATGGAGAGCGTGCGTTCTTTAGAGGTGGGGTGGAGACGAGGGATGGCGGAGGGAGGAGGAGACGGGGCAGATGAAAGAAGGATTTAATGAATGGCGACAGCCAGAATGGAGGATGTGGTTCATTAACGACACAAGCTGGATGAATAGAGCTTAGACTAACAGAGACCTGACCACTATCCTCTCACAAGCACTGTTTCTCACTACATGCAGGTGGTACCTTTTTGTTCCATGTTTTAGATTTCTTTTTTTCTTCTGCTGATGTGTTGTTAGACGGGATAACTTCTCCTTTTATGACTCAGCAGGCAAACTTTAGCTTAAGGCTACTATTATTTTCATTTATATGCAGGGAAGTACTGTAGATATTCAAAATGCAATTTAAGAAGACTGCACTAAACTGACAGTAGCTCAAAACAGCATTGCAAACAACAAATACATAAGAAAACATAAAAGTTCATTAGAAATGTAAACAATGACATGATGATACTATAAGCAAAGTCCAATCCTCAATTAAATCATCCATCTACACACTTACATCCAGGTGTTTGAGCATTAGCAATATTTTAAAAGTTCAACCTAACTCAGATGCATATGGGTTACATCCCAACAACAAGGCACAAACGTGAACGAAGCATCTTAAAAGAAAGATGAGACATAGCTCAGAAGAAGATACCAAGTTTTAAGGAATACTTAATAAAGACTTAAAAATATTACTTGTAATCCAATTCATGAAGAGCAGAGATGGAAAATTAAAAGAGTCAGTGAAGAGCTGTTAAGGTTTTTTTTATTTTTTATTTTTAATATTCAAAACAAAAAATACCACAAAAAAAAAATTGTTACAGATAGAAATCCACCTGAGTAAATCACACTATCATCAGCAAATAAATGGAAACAAGCATTTAAAAGTCATTAAGACTATTGATTTATTAGTAAATAACAGCAGTCCCAGAACAATTTTTGTGGAACACCTCTTCACACAAACAAACATGTCCCATGCTAACTGTTTACAAATAAATAATTTCATTATAATTAAGGAAGTGATCAGACTTGGTCCAAATCAGACAGAATCTCAAAGAAAAAATCAAAATGTTGTAACTCCAGTCATCGTAATATTTTGGGAAAGTCTCTTGTTGCTAAGAAAAAAGCACTGTTGCTCTTCAGTAACAGCTCAAATTTGTCAAACAAACAAAGCTTTCCTCGCACTTGATCAGCATAACTGTATGAGAGAAAAGTCTAGAGAACTCCTGCAGCAACAGTTTCTGATCTGCTCAAGTTCTCATTTGTTGGACACCGCATCAGGAATGAGGCAATGACTGAGATTGGAGCAGGAAACGGATGGTAATCGTAGCGTGGTTGTCTGTCTGCCAAAGCAGCCGAACCCAGACCCCGTACTCCATATTCCATCTCTCCTCCTTCCAGGGGCCTCTCTGACTCCTCCCAAGCTGATTTCAAGGCATTGGGTGCAGCTGGAAGGGAGTCACAGAGGCCAGCGCCGCTCTTCCGGCTTTGCCACACACACAATGATTCAGTCCCTTTCTTCTCTTAAGATTTCTCTGTTTTTATGAGGCATGCGTTTCTCTGATGCTTTTATTAGTCCAGCTGACCACTTGTGATGTTGACCACTTACTTCTGAGTCACGATGGCACATGGGACACACAGTCATTTTGCAAGAGAGACACCAGAGTTGTTCATGTTTGAAGCTTTGCACTTATCTAGCGGAATGACACGACAGGAAATTAGCATCAGCATCTTGAGCTAGTTATCCAACAGGTGGTTCTGTGAATGACAAACACTCGCTTCCCCCTTCCCGCTCGTGGAGATCCCACTTGTCTTGTGCAACGCCGTGACATGGCGGGAAAAGAACCTGGTGCCATCCCATGCATAGGCTAGGCGAGAGGGTAATGGTAAGCTGCTGCTGACCCACTTTATCTGACAATTGGTTTCTTGTCTGTGGATCAGCTTGACAAGATGCCAGGCGACAGGAGCCAAGTTCCGCAGGCAGCATTCCTTCTGTAGGCAGAGAAAGGAGGCAGCCAGGCAGAAGGGTCCTACTTGACTAGTTTTATAAGGGCCCCTCCTCCGGCCTAGTGCACCTGTATGTCTTCACGAGGCTACTTATCACTCCTCCCTTTTCCATGTACCTGTTCTTGCCTCTAAAACTAATGACTCCTTCACCCATCAATCTTTCCTTTTAATTAAATGTCTGATATGATACCGGGAGATGCCCCACAGGCCAAAAAGTTGTCCGAGAAAGAGCCAGAGAAAGAGGTTTTGCCTTACTTTTTTACTTAGTTAAACATCTCAGTGATTGGGAAATAGTTGAGTCAAGTTAAAACAAATTAAAGATATTATAAAAATACAGACTATTTTGTATTTTTAAATGGTATTTTATTTATAAGATAGTGAGGTGTGTCTCATTAAAGACTTGGTTTGAAAGCACAGTGACGCCCTTTCTTTAAAATACACAATCTTCAAATTCAAATGGAATTTAAGATTGACTTCCATTTGAAATTAAAGTCCTAAAACTAAACTCCTAGAAATGTTAATCAACATTATTGTTTCCTTTATATTGCTCACTTTGTCCCATTAAAATCGAAGGTTCTCTTTTGCCTGGGACACCAGTCAAAGATAGCAGCAATGCAGTAAATATAGATTAGTAAACCAAACAAAAACAGTGAAACACAAGACCTAACTTAAGTTTTAACCAGACCTTTAAATTTATTCATAGAAGTATTGCAGAATAAGTTCAGTTTAAAGACTTTTCCAGGCATGAAATGTTGAAAAACCGAAAGCTCCCTTTCTGAGTTTGGTTGCCTCTCTACACTTAAAGCACCATTTTAAGTGTAAGTTGAGTTAGACTACTGGTTTTCTTGTTTCCTTCTTTAAACATATACTTTAAAAGAAATTTTAGGCTACAAGCATGTACAGTTGCATAGAACAGACAATGATAAATGAGAAAATCCCAGTGAGTATTAAATCTCAGAGCCTCGTGACATACTGAGATATAGCCAGCGCATCTACATCCAGTTCATCTCTATATTCAGTGACAGTCTAATGGTTCAATCTGCCAGCAAGAAATATTATACTTACTATCAAATAATCCTAAGAAGATCTTCAATTTTTTCACAAGAAAACAAACGTACTCCCTAAATGACGAGTCATCAAGTCAAAATGTTAAACATTGGAAAGTTAACACCATTAGGTAACTATCTTTTCTCAAAAACTTTCTCTGCCGGCACCAAAGTTTTGTTTTCTCTCCGTTTAACACAAGTTATAGATTACAGAGCTGTTCTTGTGTACATGTTGAATATACTCAAACAATTTTTAAGAAGAAGGTGCAGAGAAGTAAATTACAGTACAACTGAATAATATAACGTACATGAAAAAGTCAGCATAAAAATCAAAGATTTGAACTTTTTGGGACCCGTTTATAGACTTGCAAAAATTCTGCAGTAGAACCGTCAATCTTAATCATTTAGGTTCTACCTGTAATGTAATTTGGAAACCATCCAATGCTTTGCTTAGACAAACCGTTGTGTGCAAGATATTTGATTAAAGCTAAAAGACAGTGAAAACAAAGCTTTCTGCTTTTGTTTTGTTATTGATGCCCTTCACAGCAATGTGTCTTTATGACTGAAACCTTTGTTAAGTCTATTTTTGTAAAAAAAATAAAATAAAATAAAATATCTCCCTGAAAGGTGAGTAAATTTGGTGAGTAAATTGGAAAAAAAAAAATCAATTTAGCAAGTCTTCTGCTTCAACCTACATTACTAGGTAGGTATGTTCTGCAGACACAGAGTACTTAATAACACCAATTGCAACCCGTCAATGTTCTTTCCATGTGAATAAATTGGTGAATAAATTGGTTCCTGTTGTACAACCACTTGGGTTAAGATTTAAGTAACAGTCAGCAGATGCTGACTATTTAGCCTGGTCCCTTCAATTCATCAATCTTCCCATATGGTCACTAAAATCAACCCAACCCATTCCATTTCCTCGTTCTGTAGTGGTATCAGACAAGCTCTGGTGCTCAGAAAGATTTGTGCTCCCTCCCATTCATTCTCTCATCCAGGGAGAAGTCAACCCAATTAAATGGCCATCTGGTCCAATGCAAAGGCCAATATTTTGTTCATATTCCTGTTGGTCAGGGGCTAGCACTAATGCAGCCTGACACCCCAGCTGCAAGAAGCTTTGTGTGGCTTAAATGCTCCAGGGGGCACCCACCAATTAGGAGGGGGTGCAGCGGGCAGGGCACCCCACTTGGGCCAAGGAGGCCCGGCTGTGTCGGCGGGTAATTTAGCGGAACAAGAGAGCGTTGAGACCCAATTACGGCGGCTCTGATGTAAGACACGAGACTCTGGTTGCCTTCACACATTTTGTGTCAGAGAGGTCAGTGGGGGTCATACCCACATGCCAGAGCTGCCATGAGAAGCAGGACATCCCGGCAGGGTGGGAGAGAGATGGGATGGTTGGTCACGCTCAGGCCCGTCCTCAGCTTGGGGGAGCAATCTTTTCCTCCACCAGTTCCAGGTAAAAAGACCACTCAGCAAATCTGTCCAGCTGAAATCTGCAAAACTGGCTTGAACTGTGTAGCATAGTGCCAGGTCAAGTCATTCCCTGCTGTCAAAAAGTTGCTTTGGGAGTGGGAACTTTTGGCTCAACTCAGGTATGGGCATATCTCGAGGTAATTCTTCATTTGCACGCAACTCTCTCCCTCTGCTGCCATTCTGGCTCATAGAGTCCTTTCTCAGCGTTTGCCCGGGTCTCGCATTCTCTGAGTTACCTCTCTTTGGGCCCCATCTTTTGATGAGTTGAATATTGCACCGACCTTAAAATTTATGTCCTGGAAAACTGCAGATGTCTGGATCCGTTTCAGATCAGTTATACCTGACTAAAAAAATTAACTCAAACAATGAAGTCATTTTTATTTCTTACAACGGCCTCTCTGTGTAGGTTTCATCTCACTAAACAAGCAGAAAGGCATCTGCAACACAGAAGTCTCACTAAGGATTACGTTAAACGTCAGTAGGTCCAATACAGTTAATCTCTGGGTGCAGTTTTAATGAGGCGTTTTCCTCCCTGCACTGGTGGATCCAGGGCTGTACTACCTGGTACCAGGCTCTCTCTGGCTCCGTGCTCCCCTTCTGTAAATGTTTATTAAGAAGCATGGATCATTTCTCTGGCAAGGGGTTCAGATCATAAAACTGTTGCTTTTCATTTATTTCATCACAAATTATTTGAATACAAGCAATTTAGGTGTAGTACAATTTTCCAAACATTATATTTTTCTGGAAAATTTGTAAGAGCCTTTCCATAATCTATCCATAATCTATCCTGTCCTTCCTTCCTTCATTCCTTACTTCCTTTCATCCACATTCTTTCTTGGCTTCCTTTCCTCAATCCTTTTTGCCATTTAGTCCTTTGACCTTTCACTTGCTTCTCTTTATATTCTTGACTTACCTTCATCCCATAATCATTCTTTCCTTTAGTCCTTACTTCTACTTCCTCACATCAGCCTGACCTCTGTGACAAACAGTGAACAACAGTGAAACCAAAGTAAACCTTGTATTCTTCTGCTAAAAAGGATCCAATAAATAAACTCTGAATATTGAAGCTCTGTCTGGAAAATGTCGAATTTTGACATATAAATTGTGCAAGAACTTGTTTCTGTAATGTCACAGTGTAGGTGGTAAATGTCTGTTTCACAGGTGTAGGGAGACGGACGTTTCTGTTTACATCTCACCTCCATCGCACTCTTTAAGGACTGCAGGCTACATGTGTTCTTCACTGTACTAGCACGTATCTCACCTATATCATTTGCTCAGTCACCAACAAAAGGTTTCTTGCAGACCTCCAAGTGGGAAAGTGATTGGTCAGTTCCCGTCATCGTCATTATGTGTCACACCTGCCGATTGGCTCACGCTGTGTGCAGAGGCGCTCCAAACCCGGCAGCAGACGGGCAGAGCCAGCCGTAGACCTCTAACCGTCATCGGACCAGCCGGTGGAATTAGTCCGCCTTTCACGGGACGTTGCGGTTTTTAAACTCTTTCATCCCTGAGCTGGACTCGCTCATCTGAGGAGCTGTTCCGCTGAGTGTCGCTCGGGTGGTGGTGGTGATGGTGGTGGGGCGGGTGTAGATAGAAGAGAGGCTGAACTGAGCTGATACAGGTGCTGAGTGAGCGGAGGCCTGCGACTGGTGTTGTCACCAAGTCTTTAGAGAAAGGCTCAACGAAAGGCACCAGATCTGTGTGGGAAAAGAAGAGACTTTGCTGCAGCACTCGCATCACTCTCTTTGACATCCTTCTTCTCTTTTACATGAGCTTCATAAGGATAAAAGTTTTAAAAATCTTTAAATCTTGTACCTCCCTGCCCCCCTCCCCACCTCTCTCTGTTATGAATTCTCATTCTGATGCTTCTTTCTGCATCACCATGGAGAAGCAAGAGAAACTGAGTGGGGGGAAGGCAGAGAGGATCAAAGAGTGTTGGCACAGACAAACTGCACAAGTGAACTAACCTCTGTTTTTTTCCTCCTTGCCCTTCTGTCTCCTCTGTCCTTCCTCCAGACCACCAAGGCGTTTCTCCCCAAGATGCTGGAGCTGAATCACGGTCACATTGTGACTGTTGCCAGCTCCCTCGGTTTATTCAGCACAGCTGGAGTTGAGGTTAGTATCATACACAGAAACACATACACATCCCCGTCGTTCCCACCGTCTGCGAGCGGGCTTTTCTCCTCGGCCGCCGGCGTGCCAGCTAGCACGCTGAGAGCGAGGAGGTTAGGCCCCATCTCTCTAGTTGTTCCCCCACCCGTTAAATTAAGCAACACAGATGAGCATTCGGGAGTCTCGTATAGATTCCTCTATCTGCAGCAGCGGGGGCGTCGGGGGGGCCCCCAGTGGGCACTGGCCCCGGGGCCAGAATGAGCTGACAGCTCCCCGTGGGACAGAGACATCTTCATCACTGCTTTGTGGACTACTTGCTCCTCATTCAGTATTCAGCTCACAACCTTTTCCGATTGATATGGTTTTTCTTACTATGTTTTTTTTTTTATTATTATTCTAATTCATTCTAAAATATTTCAAGGGGGGTTGTTTATCTCCATAACCCGAGAGAGCAAAACAGTATCTTCCTCAAATTTTTATTAATTTTTTTAAATGATAGTTTTCTTATTTATTCTTGCAGCAAAAAACTCTGTAAGGACGGCTACTTTGAATTCTCTCTTCATTTAAGGATGCATTTTTAAAAATATAATAACAATGTCTTAGATTAACACTAAAGTGTGTTGCACTTTTAGTTTGCTGTTAGAAATGATGTTAATTTCTTAAATGTGACCTCAGATGTGCACATTATTATTTTTTGGGAGTCTATGACTGTACTGTGAGCTTTCTGTGTTTATTGTCACGCATATATTTACCGTCCTTTATTTATTTAGTCTGTTTTTTCTCTTTTTTTTTAAAGATTATTTCCACAGTGTACCACATCAAAACCTTCCTGCCCAGCAGAGCAGCATACTAATGTGCTCGAGAAGAATGCTAATGAAACCATAGAAAAGCGGTTAGGCTCCCTCAGGTTTTCTTTGTGGCTGTATCATTACCATCTAGGAGAAACCCATGAGCCCACTGGGGCATGTTTGACAATGTTTTCTAGTCCCTAGGTGCTTTTTTTTTTTTTTTTTTTTTTTTTTAAGGGGCGAATTTTTTTTTTTTTTTTTTTTCTTTGGGCATTTCTCCCCCAACATT